ATGTAAATATCTTTTTGTTTTCCGATGGTCTTAGGCGACCCCTGTGAAAGGGTCATTCGACCCCCAAAGGGGTCACGACCCACAGGTTGAGAACCGCTGGTTTAGAGGAAGCCATCTGGAAAGAGGCATTTCAAAGGTGTGTTCATCTAGATGCATAGGAACAATGGGCAGGGCTGGCTTAAGGCAAAGATGAACTTTTACTAAAGAAGTTACAGGCCTGGGGCGTGACTACCCACCATGACCTGCCCAGTTAGGAATTTATGATCACGTCATCCTGGGAAGCTACTTTCTAAAGAGCCCATTTTTCATCCACATTAGGGAAAATTCAAGCCAAGTCTTTTGCAAGGGACTGCAGTGTATGAGAGACACCTCCAATGTGTGCAAGTTTGTCATTTAGTGTAACTGTTTTTGTCTGACACAATTAGTGAAATATAGTTTTCGCGACCTCTGAGCATTCTTTAGAGTGAAAATTCAAAGGTTTTTATTCCATGTGTGTTAAAGTATTTGACTCTTACTAATAATGTTTGAGCACAAACTGTCATCAAGAAACTCACAGAGGCAAGACCCTACAACAAAGGCAACTCTTGGTCCTCATTTGTTATCCCTTCTTTTTAGGAGACACATGCTGCTCTTCACAGCGTATTCCTTGATAGGGCATTCCATCCACATCTGCAGCATGGTGACTTTTGTCATTGGGGATGAAGATGTTGTGTTACCCAACTTCGAGCCGGTACATATTTTAGCAACGGTGACTTTTTGTGTGTGTGTGTGCCTTATTTTCAAAGAATTTGAACTAACCCATATTCCTATTTTTTTATTCAACTTACCCATTTTTACCTTTTAAAACGATTAGGTATATTCCGCAAGGAATCCCCAAATATGACATGTACAATAAATAATCTAAACTCTGCAGAGATACAAATAAAATGATTTTAATTTTTCTCCAGCTGCCTTCACCTCTGCTCTGTCACAGCTCCTTTCACATCTGTTAACATCTCATGCAGATTCCATAGTATTATTGGTCTTTTGGGAGGTATACAGGATCCATACAAGCCTTTTGAATACCGTTGAAAATTTTGATATCATGTGCCCCTTTTACACTTCTTTGGCCTGAGGAATTTGGAGGGCGTGTCTCTGGAATTCAGGAGACGAGAGTCATGGAAGATTCTCTCATTTCATCTCCTTTGTCTCCTCTTGGCCTCTCCTTAGTTTCTCTTGCTCCTCTGCTCTGACAGCATCTGAAAGAAGAGATGAGGTAAATGGGGCCACCCTCTCCCCTGAGGGCCCATCTTGGCTTTAGATGTTCTTTAAACGCATCCTCCAGTCATGCATTCCTGCCTCTCTAGGTGGTGGTGGTGCTTGACTGCCTCCTCTCCTTGCGACACCATTTCTCCCCAGGTCTCTCCCTCCTGTTTAATGGACACAGAAGGAAGATCAGCAAGCCCACCTTATAAATAGAAGTCTCTTATTCCCTTAATTACGTTGACCCTGCTTATTTTAAATTTTTGTTTGTCTTTTCTTCTTCTTCTTCTTTTTAAAATAATTCTACCTTAGTTAGAAGGGATTATCCAGTTTGTTTCTTTGTTAGGTGACTCAGCTCCCTAGGTGTTTAGTTATTTGGGTCAGTGAACTCATACTTCCCTGAGGCTATCAACTCTTCCATATTATAAAAATTATTGGGGCTCAAGGCCAAGCCCCAGTTGTCTTCAGTTCAGAGGAGAAGCAAAGGGGTATAGGTTGGTCCACAAGCAGAGAGACTGAAGCTCCTCAGAGCCATACTTCATCACGCCCAATGCTGTCAGTTGACCAGACAACGTTGTAGTCATGGCTTCACATCAGAGAGAAGCACCACTGAAAAAGGTCTGTCCCTATTTCCCTAGGCTTTGGCGAATTGGGGAGGAGGTAATGGAGATGTAAAGGCATTCAGGTGGCAAGTCAGTTGAATCTATTTTCATCAGCTTCTCACCCCAGCAGGGAACCTGTGCTGTCTACCACACCTGCAGAGCCATTCCTCAAAATTTCTGCAGGGAATGGTAGAGCAATGATCGCACCACAGCACCCACTAGAAAAAGGGGGAAACTAGGCTTTACAAAGTTTTCCTCCAACTTCAGCCCCTTCCTGCTGCCTCTAGGCACCCTCTGCTCTGGGCAACTCCTCCACTAATCAGCTACCTACCACCAACCAGGATAATCTGCAAACTCCTCTGGGTTTTATCCTTTTTTAAATTCCAAATTACAGATTTATTGCAATTGGACATACAATTCTTCCTCCTCACCCCCCCCAGTTATGTTGAAGTATAATTGATAAATAAAATCATAAGCTATTTAAAGTGTATATGATGGTGATTTGATATACATTTACCTTATGAAAAGATATCCCACCTAGTTAATTAACACATCCCTCAACTCACATATTTACTATTTAGGGGTGTGGAGAGAACATTTAAATTCTACTCTCTTAGTAAATTTCAGTTACACAATACAGTGCTATCAACCGTAGTCACCATGTTTTACATTAGGCCTTCAGACCCTATTCGTCTTACTGCTGAAAGCTTATACCCTTTCACCTCCACCCTTCAGCCCCTGACAACCACTTTTCTACTCTCTGTTTCTGTTTCTATGAGTTTGACTTTTTTGTTTTTTTTTAGATTGTACATGTAAGTGATACCATGAAGTGGCTGTCTTTCTCTGTCTGACTTATTCCACTTATTACAATGCCCTCAAGGTTCATCCATGTTGTCACAATTCCAGGATTTTCTTCTCTCTCATGTTCCATCGTGTGTGTGTGTGTGTGTGTGTGTGTGTGTGTGTGTGTGTGTGTGTATCTCACATCTTCTTTATCCACTGATGGACACTTGAGTTGTTTCTGTATCTCCAATATGAATAATGCTGCAGTGAACATGGGAGTGAATATATCTCTGCAATATCTTGTTTGTTTGCGTTCCCTTTGAGTAGATACCCAAAAGTGGGATTGCTGGATCATATGGTAGTTCCATTTTTAACTTTTTGAGGAACCTCCATACTGTTTTCCATATCCCCATCTCCTTGCTTTTATTGTTTCCTCCTAGTGAATAGTAGGGAGCCAGCAGCTCACGCCAGCTCACCTCTTGTCCTTTTGATCTTTATTTTTCTCTCCCTGTATTCTCCGCCCATCAGCCTTCAAACCCAACTGAGTTTTTGTCAGGTTAGCCCCTAAACATTTCAGGACTAAGTCTGGCTATTAGTATTGTGGAGAAACTTCCCCTGGCCCCCAATATGAGGTAGGTGTTCTTCCTATGTGTTCCTACTACAGCAGGGATCCTGTTCCTTGTTTCATATCTCTGGGACCACAACACTTAGTAAAATGCCTTGAGCAAATAAGTTCTCCATACATAGCTATTGAATCACCCATGTATTAACAGAAATTAAATTTTTATAAACTTAATTATCTTTAAATAAGTGAAAGTGAGTCTGGCTGCTATTGTCTTCACAGGAGAGCTACCGATTTACAGAGCAGTCTCTAAAAATTATGAAGGCTGTCGGAAATGTGATTGCTAATTTCAAAGATAAGGGTAAACTTTCTGAAGCGCTGAAGGATCTACAAACAGCTCACTACCCTATACCCCTTCACAACAAAGAAGTAACGGCACAGCACTTCAGGGTAAGCATGTTCAGAATGTAGATATGATGTTCCTAGGAGGATGCTTTCTTTTGTTATGTAACCCCCCCCCCCAAATCAGAGCCTAAGAAGTATTTTGCATGGAGACAATTTATTTGGGAAGTGACTTTAGGAAGCAGAAATGAGGGAGTAGGAAGAACGAGATGAGAAAAAGAAAACTATGTTGAAAGATGTGGTATTGGCTGCCGTGGCTACTGGGGTTGAATTGTCCAGGAGATCCTGATAAAATGTGTAGGGCATCCCTCGGAAGTGTCCCACTAAAGGACGGGGAGATTATGACACTTATCTGCCAACTCTTTTCCCACTGAGAGATGGTTGCCCTTGGGGGCGTTAACTTCCTCACAGTTAAAACTTGTGCCTGGGGCTGAGTAGCATTCTGGTTTAGCAGAAAACCTTGAGAGCATGAAACAAGGAGACTTTGTGATACCCTCTAGGTCTGGGTTTTTCAACCAGTACACTACTGACATTTTGGGCCAGATGAATTTAGTGGGACTGACCCATGCACTGTAGAATATATAGCAGCATGGCTGGCCTACACCCTCTAGACACCAGCAATATCCTTTTTTGACAACTTAAAATGACTTTAGACATTGTGAAATGTTCCCTGGGGAGTAGCATTGCCAGGTATAGCAAATAAAAAATACATGACACCTGGGTACAATTTTATTGCAGACTTTTTTTTTTTAAGAGCAGTTTTAGGTTCTCAGCAAAATGGAGAGAAAGCATCAGAGATTTCCCATATGCCCCTTGTCCCCACATAGGTACAGCCCCCAACCCCCAATATCAACATCCCCACCACAGTGGGACATTTGTCACAACTGATCAACCTACATTCACACATCAGTATCTCTCAGTCTGTAGCTTCCATTAGGGACCATTCCGGGTGTTGTGCATTCTGTAGATTTGGACAAATATGTGATGACATGTATCCATCATTATGATATCACGCAGACTCTTTTCACTGCCCTAAAAATCCTCTGTGCTTTACCTGTTCATTCCTCTCCCACCCTAGCTCCTGGCAACCAAAGAGCTTTGCACTGTTTCCATAGTTTTGCCTTTACCACAATGCCATATAACTGCAATCGTACCGTATGTAGCCTTTTGAGATTGGCTTCTTTCACTTAGTAATATACCTTTAAGATTCCTGTGTCTTTTCATGGCTTGATAGTTGCTTTCTTTTTAGTGCCAAATAATATTTTATTGTTTGGATGTATCACAGGTTATGCATTCACTTGCTGAAGGACATCTTGGTTGCTTTCAAGTTTTGTCAATTATGAATAAAGTAGCTGTAAACATCCATGTATAGGTGCGTGTGTGAACATAAGTTTTTAACTCCTTTGGGTAAATACTAATGTGCGTGACTGCTGAATCATATAGTAAGAATATGTTTACTTTCGTAAACCACCAAAGTTTCTTCCAAAGTGGCCATACCATTTTTCACTCCCACCGGCCCTGGAAGAGCTCCTGTTGCTCCATATCCTCAACAGCAGTGGGCATTGTCAGTGTTCCAGATTTTGGCCATTCTAATAGGTGTGTAGTGCTATGTCACTGTTGTTTTAATTTGCATTTCCCTGATGACCTATGATGTGGAGTATCTTTTCATATGCTTATTTGCCATCTGTATATCTTCTTGGGTGAGGTGTCTGTTAAGTTCTTTGGCCCATTTAGTAATCAGGTTGTTTGTTTCTTTGTTGTTGAGGTTTAAGAGTTGGTTGTGTATTTTGGATAATAGTCCTTTATCATATGCATCTTTTGCAAATATTTTGTTCCATTCTATGGCTTGTCTTCTTATTCTGTTGAGATCTCCTCTCAGAGAGCAGAAGTTTTTGATTTTATGAAGTCCAGCTTATCAGTTCTTTCATGAAGTCATTGCTGTGCCCAAGTTTATCTAGCTTTTCTCCTAGGTTATCTTCTAAGAGCTTTATAACTTTGCATTTTACATTTCAGTCTGTAATATATTTTGGGTTAATTTTTGAGAAAGGCGTAAAGTATGTGTCTGTAGAGTCATTTTGCTGAGTTAAAATTTAATCTCATGTAAAGAAACAGCATGTGCAATATATAAGATGTACTTATATTAAAAATTATTTACACACAAAAACTCATTTTACCTATTATTCCAATTTAATTGGGTATTGGGTGTTTCGGGGGAAAGGTAATTAAAATTTCCTCCAAATTCAGAAGACCTCTCCACAAAAGTAGAAGAGAAAGAACACAATTTTGCTGTTGAATAAGCATTAAATCACGGTGAGATGCACATCAAGGCAGTCCACTAAATAGATTGCAAAGTGAGAAAGAGAGCTCACATTTTTGTATAGCCAAGCGGATGTAGCCCTTTACAGACAAGTTCTCCAGATAAACAATAACCAGCACTCAAGTAAAAGGACTTGATGGCACCATTTGTCACACAGAGTGAATTCTAAATCCACTTGGTATTTGGGGTGGTCGACCATGTTAGCTAATTGGTTTTATCCAAAAGAAAAATAAGCTTCTCATATCTTTATGACACAAGGTAGTTTCACAGTGTGGAGGTCTGAGCCTGCCGAAGTCAGGCCCCGACCCTCCCCAGAAACTGGGAAGTCGTGGCACCATCTCCCTGATTATTACTTTTCAAAGAGATGGTTCCCAGGTCCTTGAAAAAGATATTGCTGGCTCTTCAATCTGGCAAGAGGCATATTTAGTTTTTTAAAAGATTTACATACATTTCAAAGAGGGAGGAAGAACTTATAAGTTTTCTAAAGTAAATGCTCTAAGAAAAGGGAGGGGAGTGTCTTCCTTATTTACCACAGGGAGAATTAAACCCCTTACCTTTGATTTGTATTTGCCCTTACAGTGTTGTGTATTTTATTTGGCAACCCTACCTGGGATGCAAATCATTCTCAAATGAGACCCACTTGCCTTGGTATGAGTCATGTACAAGAAATATGTGCCCTGATCTACCTCTTCAACTAGTATGACCATGCCTCCCTTGGTGAGCTCTTGTCACCCACTCTTCAAGGTGTCTCTAGGTGGCTCAAGGTGGTGGTCACAAGCTCTAAAAATAATTAAATCATTACATGATATGACAGCTATTGTGTCCACTGCTAGAGCTGGCCCTGAGCCCATAATTGGTATTGAACATCTCTCTCCTCTACTTCCCATTCTAGATTTCTCTTTCTTCCAGCCAAAGCTCCAGCTAATCCTGCCTGGTGGGTCACCCAGACCTTCAATCCAGTGGATGTGAGATCTTGATGCCTTACTCTTATCAGGTCATGATTGCTCCAATTAATCATTTATGGTAGAAGTACCAAGAAGCATCCCTTCAAATCCAGACATAATTCTTCCTGTCCCCATTTATAGCAAAAACCCTTTTCTCCCCCTACTCTGTTATATTAGTTCTTTTTTCTCCTGCTTGTCCACCAGGATGAGGAACTCAAACTTGTCCTCAGGTTGAGGCATATCTCCTACTTTAGATTTATTGTAAGTTAGAATGTGTCCCCTGGTGGGAATATTTCCTGCCATCCACCTCCAGGAATTAGGTCCTCCAATCCAGCACACACCCTGTCATGAGAACAGAAAACACTAATTATTGCAAATCAGCCACTGGAAGTAATGGTGAGAGAGACCAGTCTTGCTTCCGATTTTTAAATCCCAGGTCTGTATGTTTTAGCTATTACAGACATAGCACTGCATATTGATCTTTGGTTCTGTGCATATATACTGCTTCCTGGAGGAGACTGCCTCAATTCTGCAGGGTGTTATCTCCATGCATCTTAGCTGAGCCTTTTATATGCCACTCTAACCTACGAGGAATTTGCATTGCGTCATGCAGTAATCATGTGCATTGTACTATAAGTATCCCATAGATAAGGACTGTCTCACCAGTAAATAACATTAGTGTGTGCCAGGTGGTCTTTCATTAGCATGCTTATGACAGAATTGGACCAGGGGATCTTCTGTTCTTTCCCAGAGTAACTAAATCTCTTGCAGATCCCTCTCTTGTTTTGGATCCTGCTCAAAGCTGATGGCTTTTTGAGTCACTCAATACATTCATTGGAATAGTACTCCCAAAAGCAGAATATTCTACCACCAAAATCCAGACAAGACCATCAAGCACGGTCTTTCTTAACTGCGGTGTCTTATTCTTTACCTTAGAGGCAATGTCTCAGCATATCCAGCCTTCTGGACACCTAAAATCTCCATTGATGTGGTAAATCCACGAATCTCTATAGGGTTTATTCCCTACTCTCTAGCGTGCCCATGTCTTAACCAGGAATTCAGGGTACTGCCTTGCTGCCCACAGGTCTGCGTTTGCTGAGTCATCAACATTCACGTGTAGTCCAGAATGATATACCCTAGAATATCAAGATGATCAAAAACTCTGAACACTCCATTGTAACAGAGTAAAAGGATGAACATAATCATGTTTGTTTGTTTGTTTGTTTTGTTTTTTTGTTTTTTTTAAAGGATTTTATTTTATTTTTTATTTTTTTTATATATATATATATTTTAAGATTTTTATTGGGGAATTGGGGGGATGGGAACAGTGCTGGGGAATTGGGGGAAGGGGAACAGACAAGTTGCTGTCGTTTTGTTCTTCAATCTAGTTGTGGAGGATGTTGCTTCACTGGCCCAAGTTGGCACCATCATTGCGCTCTTCTCTGGCGAGGCAGATCAGTTGCCGGCTTCTGGACGGCCGCTCACTGCGGCTGCTGGCCGCTCACTGCGGCTGCTGGCCACTCACTGCGGCTGCTGGCCACTCACGCTGGCTGCTGGCTACATACGGTAGCTGGCAACCCACTGCCACAGGGAGTGCAGCCTACGCCGTCGCCGGCGACTCATGGCAGCCCAGCTCCAGGTTGAGCTGTTGTTCAGCATCTTAGCTGTGGAGAGCAGTGTCACTGGCCCTCATATGTGGGATCCGAACCGGGGCCCTCTGGCATCCCAAGCGAGTTCTCAACCATCGCGCCACTCGGCCGGCCCATGTTTGTTTGTTTTTTAATTTTTATCTTAAGATGTTGAAATATTTAGGGCATTTTTTTTAGCATGTCACAGAAAACACATCTAACTGATTTAAGCCACAACAAGCAGCTGGATGTGTTGATCTATTATAAGGATAAAGGGACATTTTCTTGAAACCTAAGGATAGGAATGACTCAGTGAGGGGCTTCAAAGAGGGAACAGAAGGCCCTTAGAACTCATCTTCTTTTTTCTATTTATAGACATGTTTTCTCTGCTCCTACGTTCACATCATGGAAAATATGGATTCTAAGTTTTTCATCTTTTTCCCACATGAAGCTATTGGGTTGTTGGAAAAGTCATGATGCATTTTTGCAATGAAAAACATGGAAAAAATACGTCATGACTTTTCCGACAACCCAATAGTTTAGAATGTCTTAACCCTGACTTCCTATTATTGGCCAAAGTGACATTGATTTGCTCAGCTTGGGTTAACTGCTTGGTCTCAGGCTTGTCTAATATTGCCAGCTGATGGGGCTGATACTAATACAGGTTGTGAGATGAGGTGCCTATTTTTTATACATAAGGGAAGGAGTGAAGAGTTGTCAGAAAACGTGGACTCAGTATGAAATATAATAGTCACTTGCATTTGAAGGGCATTGTATTTCACCAATTCTAAGATGAACATTTCTTTTCACACTTTAACATCAGAATAAAATCAGAGTGTGTCATATTTGGGGGCTCCTTACAATCATTGCTGGCCAGGAGGCCTCCAGAATTCTCTGCACTTGCATGGACTTGTTCAGGTACATATTGTCACCACTTCAAAAGAAATATGTGTATTGTTTGACAAAAGACTAACCCTTCAAGGAAGAGAATTAACTGGCATAATAAACCCTCTCAAAAAACAAAACAAAACAAAACAAAACAAAAAACCAAACATGAAGGGAGAGAGATTTTTCTCACACCAAAATGACTCACCCCCGGGATTCAAAGAAAAAAGAGAGGGAAAGGTGTCATGGCTTCATTGTCATTCTCCATGGCATGACTAGATAAATGGAAACCCTTAGCATTTCAGGATCAAAACCATAAAAATAAAAATTGGAAGGGGGGATATATAGTCTTGTTGTGCTCTAAATACCTTCCATCAATCATGAATCATCTTTAGTAAGATCAAGAATGAGCCAGTATCAACACATACTGAAGGTGGATCAGTGGCTTAAGAAAACCCCAGGAACAAAAGTAGACCACTGTTTAGGTAATGGTGCCCCTTCAAAGCTTTTCCAACATGGAGGATAAAATTGTATAGGAAAAAACAGATCTTAAATAGTTTCAAAAAGTGATTTGCAAGAGTTAAGAGTTTGAATATTAATAAGTTTTTGGAATACTTAACCAACATATGTAGCTTATTTTATTTTCTTATGTATGTTTAAATGTGATACATGATGAAAAGCTATGTCTAAATAAGTGTAAATGAGCTTTTTCAATAGGAAATAAATACTCATAGATGATAAAAAATATGCTAAAAACTCTAAGTAGCATATTCTTTTTTTGTTGCACATAGAATAATATTGTGTGTCTTACATCTTAGAATCAATGAAATATTGTATTTAACTTGTTTAAGAACAAGGACCATATTTTTAATCTTAAATTGCTAGCTCCTCAGTCTAATATTTTATTTTGATTATTTGTACATTATAAACATTGCTATAGAGATTAAATTTTATTAAATTAGGGATAGTCAAATGATAAATAATTTTGGTCTCTTACTGGGTGAGTGAGATTTTGTAAAATCTTCTGATAGCTTGTATGCATAGGTTTTATATATATATATATATATATATATATATATATATATATATACACACACACACAGGGTTGTCAGAAAAGTCATGTATTTTCTGTTTTTCATTGCAAAAATGCACATGACTTTTCTGACAATCATATATATATATATATATATATATATATATATATATATACACACACACACAGGGTTGTCAGAAAAGTCATGTATTTTCTGTTTTTCATTGCAAAAATGCACATGACTTTTCTGACAATCATATATATATATATATATATATAAATATATATGTATATACAAATAAATATATGTGTGTGTGTATATATACACACACACACACACACACACATATATATAATTTTTTTTAGCATACCTGAAGTTTTTTTTTATTTTTTTATAGCCTACGCCGTGGATGGCGACTCACAGCAGCCCAGCTCCAGGTTGAGCTGTTGTTCATCATCTTAGCTGTAGAGGGCAGCGTCACTGGCCCTCATATGTGGCATCCGAACCGCAGCCCTGCTGCTCTGAGTTGGTGTCCCAAGCGAGCTCTTAATCAGCTGAGCCACTCGGCCGGCCCCATACCTGAAGTTTTTTAGAGGTTTTCTGACCAGGTATTTTCTTGGTTTAAAAACTATACTAAAATATTTTATCATTTTCAGGTTTTTCATACATCTTTATGGCGTTTAATCAGAAAAACTCAACTAGCAAAATTTCCTTCAAACTTGAAATTTGCATTCCGTGCTATAGTTTTGGACTTGGATTTATTCGATTCCTCCTTGGAAGAGGCTTCTTTAGGTACTGATTAATTTTAGATATTTATTTGACAAAGGAACTCCCAGGCTTACATAAGATAAATAATTTGGGAAAAGTGCCCTGAGAGTGTTTGTGGAGTAGGTAGCACAAGTCCACATGGACAGTTGCAGAGTTCAAGCAGTGCTCTGGGAAGCTCACAGGGTTCCAAAGTTCTTACGTGTCCTCCACCCCACACACATCCAGAATTTCCCTGTTTCATTTTTTTGTGACCTTAAAAAGTAGGAAAGTCACTAAGCTCTATACAGTATGATTTGAGGAATTCTGGGAAGATCCTTTGATCTGAGTAACTCTCCCAATAATTTATTTCCTCCTTTCCTAATAATCTATTTCCACCATTTTAACAATTTCTTTCAATTGTGAGAGAAACCTCTTGCTACTTTGACGGAAGAATCAATAGTTCACTACGGTGTCAATATTTACCATGTTATCATTCTCCAGAATGTTTACTTTCTAAAGAAGGACCAGTTATAGAGGGCAATGTTTAATATGATGATACATCTATTACTGTGGCACTTTATATGTCAGAGGACTTTAGTAGTTAAAGGCATTGAAAATTGGGGAAGAGGTTAAATGTAACTTTTAGTCCAAAGTTTGTTTTTCTCTTTCCAGCGGAATGGGTAGATGTTAAATATTATATACCAATAAGCGATAAAGAATATTCTCCTGAGGAAGTCGCAGCAGCAATTAAAATTCAAGCCATGTGGAGAGGGACTTATGTCAGAATGCTTATGAAAGCCAGAACACCAGGTATAAATTTTCAATCATTTATAAAATGAACTTGCCTATATATGAATGAATGTTTGTATGTTAATAAAAAGTATTTTAGAGTCATCCTACTTTATGGATAGGCTAATTATGTTTAATGCTATAAATTTTGAAATCCCTTGAGGTCAGGGTGTATGTCAGTACACTCAGTCTCTTGTTCCCAGAATTTAGCACAGTGCCTGATGCAGAGTAAACACATGACAAACTACTTGGAAGGAAGGAAGGAAGGAAGGAAGGAAGGAAGGAAGGAAGGAAGGAAGGAAAGAAGGAAGGAAGGAAGGAAGGAAGGAAGGATGGAAGGAAGAAGGAAGAAAAAAAGGAAGAAAGAAAGGAGCTGTCATGTATGTCCATAAGACATACATTTAGAAAGCATAAAATGCATTTTGAGTGTATTAATATATTTATTAAATCCAATATATTTATGCATATAAAATAAACAACTTTATGAAAAGGTTTATTTTAATAGCCTAAAATAAGACACTGCAGAGGCAAAAATTATATCCAATTATTTTCATGCTGCATTTTCTGTTCACATTTTCATAGGAAAAGCCTTATCTCTAATAGAATTCTTGGAGTAGATTGAAACATTTTTTTTGTAAAAATGTCTCTATTTGAAACGTTTAATTAGAATCATCAAAATGCTTATCTAAGCAGTAAAAATGACACATGCACAAATGTAAAACAAACAAACTACATTGTATAGTTTTGTGATAGAGAAATATTATGGTAGCCTGATTTTTATATTTTTTCTATTAGAAAAAAATTACAAATTTATCAAAGTAAATATATGGTAAAATATACTTTTTGTTGTCCATATATGCTGCAAAATTTATACTCATACAATGATTTTCTTTCTCATTATAGAGACAAAATTTGAGCAATTAACTAATGTTTTAACAGTATTTGCATTTCTTTCACTCAATACATATGTATTGAATTACTTGTGTGTACAGTGCTGTTCTAGATTCTGGCCTTATGGAAATCAGTAAAACTGACAAGGTTTCTGCTCTGATGAATCTTGTGTTTTAGTGATGGTAGGCATACAATAGACAAGTAAATGTACGAAGATATCAATTTCAAATACTGGTCAGTACTATGAAGAAATGAGGATAATTAGAAAAAATGTCAGTTTTGACATGTTAACTTCAAAGTATTTACTATGGATTTGCATTTTTCTTGCCAAATCATTTATTCTTAAGCCATCTGTGGATTATGCTTTAGACAAAGCTTTAGTGGAATCCTAGTAGTCACTGCTTTTTAGAAAAATTAGATGAATTATTTTTCCTGACATAAGAACTTTCATAAGAAATTTTTGGTGTGATCAAAGATCTGATGTAAACTCACTGATAATTATTTCAATTAAATCAAAGGGTATTTTATGGTTTTTAAATTAAAAATGAAGGGAAATGGCATAAAATTGTGATCAAAGCTTTCAACTAGAGGTTTATAACTTTATATTTTAAACATGATTTTGCTGCTAATAAAGCCTGTGACTCTGGTACCACCTTACTTGTGTGTTTCAACTTCTGTAGAAAGAGAGCTTTGAACAAAATAATCCTTCAAGCACCTTACAGCTTTTATATTGTTATTTGTTATCATTATTTTTAGACACAAAGGAAAATACCAGTGCTGCAGATACTCTTCAAAAAGTTTGGGCTATATTGGAAATGAATATAGAACAGTATGCAGTTTCCCTCTTGAGGTAAAGTATAATAGTATGATTTTTTTCTTACTTTTAAAATTTTTCAATTACAGTTGACATACAATAATATATTTGGTTTAAATGTACAACATTGTGGTTAGACTTTTATATAATTTATGAAGTGATCACCCCAATAAGTCTAGTACCCATTGGACACCATACATAGTTATTAAAGTATCATTGACTGTGTTCCTTATGCTGTACTTTACATCCCTGTGACTATTTTTATAATGGGCAATTTGTACTTCTTAACCCTTTCCCCCTTTTTACCTATTCCCCCAACTGCCTCCCATCTGGCAACCATCAATTTGTTCTGTGTATCTATGAATTTGTTTCTGTTCTGTTTGTTTATTTATTTACTTATGTATTCATGTTTAGATTCCACATATAAGTGAAATCATATGGTGCTTATCTTTTTCTGTCTGATGTATTATTACAGTATCTTGGTGTGCTTCAAATTCCAGTTCAAAATGCTACCATATTCATTGAGTTTTCCCTCATCACTATAGCTAGAAACCTGCCATCACTTCTGAACTTCCACAATATTTTATCTGAAACATTTCTATGGCACTTAATACTTTTTGCTTGCCTTAATTGAACTTATCTAAAATTCTAAGCAGAAAACCTCCAGAGAGTTTTCTGGAGCCTTATGGTGCTGTGGACACAACAGTTAGAGTTGAGGACCTGCCAGAGGAGGGAACTCCAGTAAACAGAGTTGTCAGCCAAAATCTCTGGAGGGCAACGCTCTAGGAGCAGGGACCAATTGGAAGGATCGAACCTTACAAAAACCGCATTTTAGCCACAAACCATGTGCGAAACAGGATAAAATCTGAACAAAAGTAAGAGAAAATCATACAGTGTGTATCTGAAAGAAGCAGACCCTCTGGTGATTGGAGTTAGCAGACAAAATCTCTAAAGATAACTATTATGAAAATACCCAAGAAAATAAAGAATAAAGAAAGGGAAAATAGTTTAAAAGTTTAGATTAATAAAGCACAGTTAAATGGAAATTACATAAATGAAATTTTTAATAACTGAAACGGAAAACTTTTTAATGGGCTTAACAGCAGGTTAGGAAGGCTAGAAGAGATTAGTGAACTGGGAGATAGGTCAATAGACAAATATTCAAACTCAAGCATAGGGGAAATGAGTGGAAAATAAGAAAGACGCATAAAGGACATGTAGAACATGCTCAAAAAGTATATTCTTTATGTAATTATAGCCCCAGAATGTAAAAAGATAATAGTTGTGAACTTTGCAAAACTGAGAAAACACATCAGCCCATATTTTCAAGAGAGTCTGCATGCAGACACCATGCAAGAAGGATGCAAAGAAAACCACACCTGAAAACTAAAGACCAAAAGAAAGACCTTCAAAACAGCCAGAGAAATAAGACCTTATCTTCAAAGGACAATCAGACTAATAGGTACATATAGGAGTAAATTCATGAGCTTAGCAATGCAGAAATCAGGTGAAAGGTTTTAAAGAGTCTAAGGTTCTAGTGTTATTGCAGAAATAGTAAAAGTAATTATTTAGATGAGACTCTAATAGGGCAAGGATGCATCATATGTTCTCTAGCAATATGTTAATGGATTAACATTCATATTGGCTAATCCGTAGTGAATTTAAGAAGAAATAAGATTAATCTTACACATCTTTAAGAGACTAGAAAAAGAGGAAATGTTTTTCAACTCATAATCTTGATACAAAAACTCAACATGGACAGTACAGTAAATGAAACTGCAAACCAATAACCCTCTTAAACATTGATGCAAAAATATGTTTTAAAAATAGCAAATTAACATCAGAATTATATAAATAGGATAATACCTTATAGTTAAGTGGGTCTCCTACTCCCAGACATGCAATGGTGGTTTCACATTAGAAAATTTGTCATTTTAATCCAGCACATTAACAGGAAAAATGGACAATCATTTGGTCCTCTGGATAGATTCAGAAAGGCATTTGATAGAATTTAACACAAATTAAACATTTTTTAAAATTGTTTTTCGCGAACTAGGATTAGGAAAGACTTTCCCTAATATGTTACAGTATCTAGAATTTTAAAAGCCTACCATAAACATGGCTGGTGATGCAATTCTGAAAGTTTTTCCTTGAGTTTAGGAATGAGACAAAGATGTCTGCCTGACCACTTACGTTCAAAGTAATACTAGGAAAATTCCAAGAGAGCAAAAAGGCAATAAAGCAAAATAAAAGTCATTAGGATTTGAAGGCAAAAAATGAAACCACCAGATGATATGACTCTATGTGTAGAATATACCAAAAATATATACAGAAAAGCTATTTGCATTAAAGAGAGAATTAAGGAAAGTTGTTGATACAAGGTCCACATAAAGTAACAATTGCACTCCTATTTCTAAGCAAGAGACAAATAGAAAATTATATATAAAATACATAAAAATTTAAAATAGCCAAAAATTAATGAAAAAATTCTGTGATGAACCAAATATCAAAAATTTAAATACAGAGAAAGTCCAAATCTGTACTTACCCAACGCTGAGAATGAGCACCTCACTCGCCTCCCCCTAATCCTGGCCCACAGCTACTGTTACTGTCTGGTAATCCAGCTTGATCCACTCTTACTCCAGAACCCCTGTTTTCTAAAAGGGGTCCTTTCTTCTTAAGATCCCAATTGTACCCACGTGCACAGAGAGCACAGACCTTCTTCTCCGACCTGTTTGTGCACTGTGGGGAAGATCTCTGGGCCAGAAATTGCACCAAATGCCTCATGCGCAGGTAAATAAAGTGCTAAAATCATGAGCTCCCCTATCATGGAGCCGGGTCAGTTCCCTACGGAGGTATATACGTGAAACACAGGCATAACCTCTTCAGGGGGCTGGTGTTTCTCTCCATACAATCTTTCCACCCTGGCTGAGAGCATGTCCCAGAAACTCAACAAATATCCAATGTAGAGGCCATGCTCTTTCAATAGTTCTACACCTGTGTCTATTGGAAGGATACAACTGACAAGTCTGACTGATCCTTAAACCTAAATGCCAGGAGCATCCACAGCTACCTGCTCATCCTAGCAGACGTTAATTACATGGTCAAGAGCACAGCATTTGGCGTAAGACCTAATGCTCCCTTCAGCCCTCTTCATTATCAGATATGTGACCTGGGGGAAGTTTCTTATCCTCTCTGAAATTAAAATTAAAGTGTTTTTATCTGTCATATTAAGTATAATATCTACCTCCTAGTACTATTTTATTATAAAGCTGTAAAGATAAATGAAGGTGACACACAGAAAACGTACTTAGCACAATGCTACACACTGAGCTAATACAGAACATTAGCTATTATTAATATGGCTATTTTTATTACTACTGCGTGGGGGAGCTTTGAGGTCCAGGAGACTAAGCTTTCATTCTCAGATCATAAGGGGTAGAACTCCCCCAAGACTACTTTGGGCAAGGCTAAGTTTACCAATATAACTTTCTGTCCTAGGGTGCAAAGTTAAAATAAAATCTTTTAAGTCTGTCAGGGATTTCTCTCTGGGTCACTCAAGATATTCCACATGGTACATCAAGATTTTGACGGCCCTATATTCATTAGAATCCTGAGGTATATGAAAGAGGGTAGAAACAGTATAGGAACAATGACAGTGTGATAACCTTTAAATCCCACCCTTACCTTAGAATGGTGGTGATTCCCATTACAGTGAGTTCCCTGTGTGGCCCTCCTTAGTCCTAGTGTTGGCTCAGTCAACAGCACATCCACATTAGGTGAGCCCCCATGTGATTGACAGCACCCATGTGATTGACAGTGGTGCTCTGCATTGCCAGACCACCAAGTTATATAGTTCCTTGTTAGGGTAATGGGTTATTTATCATCCAAACTGGGATAGCTTTACAGACAGAGGGAGCACAATTAATAATTATGCCAAGACTATGAGCATAAACCAGGACTGCCCCAGGCAAACCAGGATATATAGTTCGTCTTTGTTCTTTGTGACAATTTTAAAAGGCTTAAAACCCTTCCAGATATAAACCTATCAATTTCCTCCCACCACCGAAGACCAATGATCATGTGTATCATGGGAATCCTATCCTCCATGGGAACCTCCATGGCTTTGCTTTCCATGGACAGTGCATTCAACCACCCGCCTTCTAGAAGCCACGAGCAACTCTAGCTCTGTGTAGACCTCTAGGAGGGAAACATTTTCTATGGCCATTATGGCTTCCATCCCAGCTAATACCAGAGACATGATATAAAAGAGCCTAGATTCCTGGTGCGACAAAGGCTAGATCCAGTTCCTGGCAGAGTGGGAAGGATAGGACCCAGAGAATCCTTCAGATCACTCTCATCATGTTCCAGAATATGCCACAACTTTCCAGAGGGCAAAGATGGAGAAAGTTCAGCCCATAATTCTTTAATCAGTTGCATGCAGTACTCCCTCATGTAACAAAAGTCAGGTAAAAGGAGAACTCTGCACTCTTCCCTTTTTCAAGTTTTTTTTTTTAAATTTGTTTTCAAAATCTATTCCTCACTTTAAACTGCATTCTAGTATCAATTCTTTATGTTAACTCCAGAACTTTAGTGGCTCCACCTAGTTTTATTGCTAGCTTTCCTACCCTTATAGCTTGAACATTGGTGCTGATTTTCTACCTATAAACACAATTACTCCCCCGGTCATGAATTAGATTTTCCCTTGACTAAGAAACTCAGATAACTTTGGGCACCTTTGAGAGATGTCTTTCATCACTGACCTGGAATGGTCTTCCCTATTTTGGTTCCATGCTCCATGAGCCCCACAGATCCCCCTCTTTGCCCCGACCCCCCCCACACACACACCTTTGTTCAAAGACTCGATCCAGCCAACAACAGACTGCAATATTTTATGATAATTTTTGCCTATTTTTTTTTGTAAATAAGATTTATTTTAGAAGTTGCTTTTGCTATTGGTGCTTAAGTTATTTTTATATTCCTAGACAAATGTTTAAAAGCAAGTGCAAGTCCATTGAATCCTATCCATGCTATCAAGACGAAGAAACTAAGATTGTTTTTGCTGACTATACTGTGAGTTATGGAGACCAGCCACCAAATAGTTGGTTCATAGTATTCAGGTGAGGCTATCATATATTAACAAGTGATGTCACCTTTAAATGGCATGCAATATTCATATGTGTAGAGTTTTATTTATGATAGTAGTAGAAGTATGACATTTTAGGTTTCTTTCATGACTTAGTTAAAATATCTTCCACATGTGCTATGCATAAATGAGATACAGAAAAATTTATTTGTATGTGAAGAATGTGAAGTTAATTAGAACTTTTTATGAGTGTGATAACAATATTATAGTAAATTGTGCTTTCAGTACAGAAATAAATCATTTAATTTCTAAGCATATCAGGTAAAAGTTACAAATTACAAAATAGGATTTCTGAAAAGGTTTTCATTTATATGATGAAATAGTATGTTAATAATAACTTTTAAAGGAAAACAATATGTGTACCTTATAGTTATTTGGAACTTTAAATTTATGTTTTTATTTCTTAGCATCAAACCTAATTTCAAACTTTCTTTACAATTCATGTCAAGGGAAAGTTCATGCTTTTGTAATTACAGAGAAACGTTTTTGGTTCATCAAGATATGATTTTGGTTCCCAAAGTATATACTACACTCCCAAACTGTGTGCTCCACGTTGTTAATAATGACACAATGGAACAAGTGCCAAAGGTGTTCCAAAAAGTGGTGCCTTATCTTTATACCAAGAATAAGGTAGGTGTAAAATTTATTCTCCCCACATGATAGAATAATAGTGAGAAGCCAGCGCTTTGTTGAGGTTTCAGAAGGTAGAGCAGATATGCCTTCAATCTACGTAACCGGGGAATACGGTCCAGGCCTTTTTCTATAGAAGCTGCATTTATTTGACAGCACGGGGGGTACTGAATGTGAGTGTTAGAACGTTTGCCTCTCAGGCTTCTTCTTCTTCTCTCCAAAGAAAATAAGGCAAAAGGAAAGCATTAGAAATTCTCATTATTCAAATCATAAAATCATGCAAACCCTTAAGATAGTAATGGAGCTAAAGAGCTCCTTTAGTCCTATCTGTATGCCAAATCAGAGTTTCCCACTAGGTATTTATTCCATTCCTAAATACTTCAAAAGATTGCTTATACAGCCACTCACCACCCCCAGTTCTTTTTAGGGCTACAGGTTCCTTCCAAGGAGAGGAGCACTTGACACATTACTGCTGCTGAGGGGTAGACCTTGATAACTGACGTTCACTTATATCATGTTGCATCTCTAGTTATTTGAATCTTATCTTTGTGTTTTTGGTCATTTCCTCTGAGAGGGAAGCATGACAAAAAATAGTGTGTACCTGCCCTGAAAGCCAGGTGATCTGCTTTAGCTGTGATCTTCCATTCTTTAGCTGTATGGCTTTGAACTCCTTTTTTCTCTTTGAGTTGTGGTTGTAAGTGACTTCTAAGGTTCACATCAGCCTGTGATTCTATGCATTATTTTGTACAAATTAAGACACACCTGTCTAATGAGTGCTGATTTATGGGAATGAAGGAAAAAGAAAATGTTTATTGACTCCATAAAAAATCTAATGGCTCTTTTGAATTGTTTTTGGGGATTTTAAAAATAATACTTTATTTTTTAGAGCAGTTTTACGTTCACAGAAAAATCAAGACCTAGATTTCCTTTTGAATATAAAAATTTATTTAATTTGTAATTGGAAATTTTTTAAAATCCCAAAGACCCATATGGAAAAGATTTAATTGAAGGGGAGACCCTATCAAGGTCATAGATATCATCGAATTCTAGCAATGAACTCTTGGCTTCACTAGGTAAGTATACTAATATTAGTCATTGACAATTTTGGTAGGGCCCATTAAATATTATTTAGTTGAACCAAATAAGAATCTGATACTTATTTACCTCTAGCATACTTTGTTTAGGTTTGGTTTGATTTGGTTTTTATTTCTTAGCTCCAGCGAAGACCTGTCTCCTGAGACTAAGCTTGAATTTTGAGGGTAGCTCTAAATTATGCATTTTGAGTCAATATGCAGAAACATATTCTTTCTCTATTTAACTGTTATTTCTAAATTGCAAATTCAGGATTGCAACAAAGATAGCCACTCTCTCCCTCTGATAACTCATCTCCTTTATCCTCTCATTTTAGCTCATTTTAGAAAAAAACATTGAGAGAATGGGGAGGAGAATGCAGATCTGTATGAACAGAATAGTTTCAACGGTCCCTTTTGTGGTATGGTTTTCCTCTCTTAATGATTCCTGATCTTTGAATATTTCTCCAAATTATCTATGTATGGTTCTCAGAACTGAATGCAGCCTTTAAACGAAATTTTGACCCACCTAAATGTAAGGAAGATCATTGCTCCACTGTCTTGTAGCACGATGATTACATTAGTGTTTGGCACGTGGGAGGCATATTGACACATATGTAGCCGATTTTCGGTCAACATTTTCCAATGTATATCCACAGAACTAGTGTCCCTCAAGATAGTAATTTATTTTATGTAAAAAAAAATAGCGTTCTAAGGTTAATTTTTTTTTAAAGTGTTAAAATAGTTTTCATTCAAAATCATTTACCATATTTTTTTCATAATAGTTCAAAACCCATAAACTGTGATTTGGAACACTCGTCTATAAGGTTTTTCAGTACAGGGTACTCTATTACGTTACTGTTTTACTCAAGAGTCTTGAAGTCATTTAGAATAAGCCAGCTCTTCTCTTACAATCCCATCATCACTAGTTCAGCCTTAGGTTTTCACTTATCAATGTCTATCTTACCATTTTATATCTACTTTTTTTCCCCCTCTCAAAATTATTCTCTGAGTCTAGACAAACACAAAATAAGTCATATGATTTTGTTTTGCTTCTTTAATACATTAGTATGACAAACTCAAATAATAATTAAAATAGCAATAAATCTGTGCATTACACTTTGCAGGTAAAATACTTTAGTATATATGATTTATCCTCCTTTTTCATTTGCCCCAGACATAATATCAAAAAGGTCCTTACTGGAGTTGCAATTCTCATCTCATTATGAGTATTGGAATTCTGGTTAATATTCCTAGACATTTATTGCAACGTTATGAATTCATTCTGTCGTGCGTGTTTGTAATTTCTGCTTTTGGAAATCTAAACACATCAGAGAGCCTCCTCTGCCACTAACAATTGGAACACAAACCTTTCTCTTTCTTCCTCATTAGAAGTATCTAGAATTATAAACTCAGAACTATTTTGAGCTTTTGTATCTCATTATGATATTATGCTTCTTTGTATCTCATTATCATCTCTTGCTTCACTGACTCCTCAGTCAAGTATCCAATTACATTGAATCAAGGTATTACCCACTATGAGATTATCACTTTCCCAAGCTCCTGGCCTGCTTTTTTTCTCCACTCTAAAGAGATCATCTCCAGACTCACATCTGGGTTTCATGGAACCAGATATGCTGTTAATTTAATAGCTTTACCTGCCAATTGTCATCCCAAGGGAACTACATTTCCATAAACTCTTCTGCTTTTTTCATCTTATATTTAGAAAGAGAGTTCTGAAAAGACAGGGAAATTAAGTAGAAAGCTATTGGGCTACTCCAGGATGACATGATGATAAAAATCTGCTTTAGGAATCATTAAAAAAATTAGAAGAAACTATAGTAATCATCCACTACAGTTAAGCATGATATTTACAGCTAGGTAGCCATACCACAGAAGCGTTAGAGTTATTCATTTTCTCTGTAAACATGTAAGATGACACTTCCTAAGAGGGATTTCAAAACATAGTGCTAGTTATTTGATATTTAGAAAAAGATCTTGGGATCTTTATGCATATCAAGGTAATAAAGCATTTTAGTACTATGAAACCATATATTATACTTTGAAGAGACAACGTAACTTCTGTGTAATTCTTCTTTCTTATAGAAAGGGTACACGTTTGTGGCTGAAGTGTATACTGGTGACGCACAAGTATCTGCCTCACGATGGAAGTTGCGCCTCATTGGTTCTTATAATCCACTCCCATGCCTCTCTCGAGACTTTCCATGCAATACCTTTGCCATAAAGGAAATCAGGGATTACTACATGCCCAATGATAAAAGAATTTTATTCAGGTATGAGTACATGACAGAAGGGGGAAATGCATTCCTTTTAAAATATTAAAATTTTTATTTTATTATTTTATTTAAAACAATATTATTAAAAATAATAAATTCTGGAGTAAAATGTGGAGTCAATTCTGAATTTCAATGTCTCACTCTCTTGGCAATAATTAATTTAGGGAGTAATGCGATTATATAGGTGTTATGTAGGATCAAGTCTATGTGGTTGCATATAATGGTAATGACACTTTCTTGCTGTCCATTGTATTTGACTTTCTATTTGATTTCAAATGCTCCTTTCTCTTAGTACTTCCTCCTTGTTCTGCTTCATCTTTGACTAGTCTCTTATGTGGGTTTCTCCTTATCTGCCAACTAAACTTCTTTCCATACTTACCGTATTTGCCGGTGTATAAGACGACTGGGCGTATAAGACGACCCCCTAACATTTCCACTCAAAATACAGAGTTTGTTGTGTACTCGCCGTATAAGACTACCCCCTCTTCTGCACACCTTCCACACATCAAATAAAAGATAAAACAATATCAGATTTGATTTCAACATTTATATTTATATTCAAATGCTTATGACATGCAGGAAAACTGTCACAAGGCTGTATGTAATCAAACATATACATAAATCGCG